CTCGAGATAGAAATGCTACTGTCGCTGCTGCTATTGAGGCCGCCGTTGCCGCTGCCAATGAGGCCAATGGAAATAACGGGAATCATGGGAACGATGTGAACGATGGGAATCCTGGTCAAGGACAGGTGAATGCAAACAGACCGATGTCTAAGCTGGTCGAGCAATTTTTTAGGTTGAAGCCTCCGAAGTTTGATGGGAGAAATGATACTGAGGCTGCACCCCGATGGATGGAAGAGCTAGAAAAGGCTTTTGAAGTACTGGGATGTACCGAGAGAGAAAAGATAACCCTGGCAGTCTACCAGCTTTAAGGAAATGCAAGTGAATGGTGGAGGGCTACCAAAGGTCAAGTGTCCCAGCTGGTACTGCTCCGACTTGGACTACTTTTACCGAGACCTTTAATAGCAAGTATTTCTCGGAAAGTGCTCGAGAACATAAATTGGCAGAATTCATGAGGCTTCGCCAGGGTCAGATGTCGGTGGACCAGTATGAAGCTGAGTTTGTAAAGCTGTCCAAGTTTGGCCCGAGAATGATAGAGGACCCCTTAGACAAGGCCCAGAGGTTCCAAGATGGGCTGAAGCCGGACCTCCGCAATCAGATGATATCACTGAACTTGAGGGGTTATTACGAGATTTATGATCGGGCTCAGGTAATTGAGCGTGATTTGATGGATTGGGCTGCAGCCCCTGGATCACGGTATGCCCTGGCTAGGGACAATCGTCACGTTGGAAAGAGGCCAATGATGGAAAATAGTCGCTTCATTCCTCCCGTTAGGAAGAATATTGGGAAGCCGGCTCACCATTCGGGTACGACTTGTCGACTTTGTGGGGGAAGACACGGAAATGGGCCTTGCCCGAGTAAGGGTGGAGTATGCTTTGGATGTGGTGGGCGAGGTCACCAAGTGAGAAACTGCCCGAACCGACAGGCTAGGCCGCCGATACAATCGTGGCAACCGCGAGTAGGACATCAAGCGGGAGTTGCTCCACCGAATAATCAGAATCGACTACGGGCGTAAGGAAAAGTGTAAGTTGTGGCTGGGAAGGAAGCGGATGACTTGTCTTAAGGGTCTAAATGCGATGTATAAGGATATTTGGTATATTAGAAGTGATTTTTTTTGGAAATTTTAGATTTGAATGGTCATGTAAGACATACAATTGCTCATGGTAAATTGACGCAATCAGTTTATGTATTTTGGAATTACTGATGATATCCTTTAACAAGATTTGGGTGAATGAGTTATCGCTTGGAAATTTCAGATATTGTAAAGAACAGGAGTGAATTACTTTGGGAGACCGTTGGATTGAAATTGGATGGATTGAGCTTTGTCGTTGAGGTGTAGAAAGATAATTATCTTATGATTAACTCGTTGGTTAAGGAGCCAAGGCTAGAAGACGTAGCCGTGGTGTGCAATTTCCCTGATGTCTTTCCTCAGGAATTGCTGGGATTACCACCTGATAGAGAAATGGAGTTTGTGGTTGTGTTGGCCCTAAAGACAGAACCAATCTCGAAAGCACCCTATAGGATGTCATTGTCACAATTGAAGGAATTGAAGGTCCAAATGCAGGAGTTATTGGATAAAGGCTTCATTCATCCGAGTACGTCTCCATGGGGAGCGCCAGTCTTCTTTGTGAGGAAGAAGGACGGATCGTTAAGGCTGTGCATTGACTCCAGGCAGTTGAATCAGGTGACCATTAAGAATAAGTGTCCACTACCAAGGATAGATGACCTGTTTGATCAGTTGCAAGGAGCATCGATGTTTTCTAAGATCGATTTGAGATTTGGTTACCACCAACTGAGGATTAAGAAGGATGATATACCAAAAACGGCATTTAAGACGAGATATGGGCACGATAAGTTTACAGTAATGCCATTCGGATTGACTAACGCCCCAGCTACTTTCATGGATTTGATAAATCGGGTGTTTAGGGAATTCTTGGATCAGTCGTTATTGTATTCATCGATGACATTTTGGTGTATTCAAGGAGCCTCGAGGAACACGAGCAACATCTATGGATGGTTGTACGGACTTTAAGACAACACGCACTCTATGTCAAGTTTAGTAAGTGCGAGTTATGGCTAAATCGGGTAGCATTTCTTGGACATGTGACTTCTGGGAATGGAATTTCAGTGGACCCGATAAAGATTGAGGCAGTCACGAATTGGCCAAGACCGACGACAATGATAGAGGTTCGAAGCTTCTTGGGTCCGGCAGGGTATTACAAACGCTTCGTGGAAGGTTTTTCGGCATTGGCGACGCTATTGACGCGGTTATTAAAGAAGGAAACGAGGTTTGAATGGACGGATAAGTGTGAAAGGAGTTTCCAAGAGTTAAAGCAGAGATTGACGACCGTGACAGTGTTGACAATCCCATCAGGACCGGAAGGATATGAGATCTACAGTGACGCGTCGCTAAGGGGATTGGGATGCGTGCTAATGCAACATGGAAGAGTGGTGGCATACGTATCGCGACAACTGAGACCACATGAGCTGAACTATCCGACGCACGATTTGGAATTGGCCGCGATTATCTTCGCTCTTAAGATTTGGAGACACTACTTGTGTAGAGAGAAATTTCAGATTTATACAGACCATCAAAGTTTAAGGTACTTATTCTCCCAAAAGGAATTGATCATAAGACAGCGTCGTTGGATGGAACTCCTTAAGGACTATGGCTGCGAAATTATGTATCATCTCGAAAAAGCTAATAAAGTAGCGGATGCACTGAGCCGGAAAATCGAGCGTCGCGCATATGATGGTCAAGGAATGGACTCTGTTGGAGGGAGTTCGGGATTCGGAGTTTAAGTTTGAAGAAAGTCATGTCTCAAGTCTGCTTGCCGCATTAAAGATTGAACCGGAAATCCAGACTAAGATTAATGCTTTACAATTGACGGACCCGGAGATTCAGAAGATTCTGAAAATGGATGTCGCAAAAAGGAAATCGGACTTTCAGGTTCTCGAGGATGGGATTCTGAAGTTCCATGGACGGTTATGTATGCCCAATGATGCAGAACTGAAGGACGAGATTTTGTCAGGAGCTCACCATAGCAATTACAGTATTCACCCGGGTAGTACGAAGATGTATTAGAACTTACGGCAGTGTTATTGGTGGAACGGCATGAAAGTGGATGAAGCCAAGCATGTGGCTAAGCGTTTAACATGCCAACCAGTGAAGGCGCAACATTGCAAGCCGGGTGGGATGTTGCAGCCCTTGGAAATCCCCGAGTGGAAGTGGGGACACATCACAATGGACTTTGTAATGGGATTACCGAGGAGTTAGAGGGGTCATAATTCAATTTGGGTAGTAGTCAATAGATTGACAAAGTCAGCACATTTTCTGCTGGTGCGAAAGGACTTCGCCTTGGAAAGGTATGCCGAGATATACGTACGACAAATAGTCCGTCTTCACGGAGTACCAGTGACGATTACTTCAGACCGTGATCCTAAGTTTACTGCCGCTCTTTGGAAAAGTCTTCATACGGCATTAGGAACGAAGTTACAGTTTAGCACGGCCTATCACCCCCAAACGGATGGCCAATCTGAAATGACGATTCAGACTTTGAAAGATATGCTGCGGGCATGTGTATTGGATTTTAAAGGTAGTTGGGAGAAACAGTTACATTTGGTTGAATTTGTCTACAACAATAGTTACCAGCAGAGTATCAGAATGGCACCGTTTGAAGCGCTGTATGGCAGAGCTTGCAGAATACCGGTTTGTTGGGATGAACTTGGTGAGAGGAGCATCACGGGTCCAGAGTTAGTTCAGCAGTCAGTCGAAACAGTCAAGGCGATTCGGGATAGACTTAAGACCGCTCAAAGCCGCCAAAAGAATTATGCAGACCGGAGATGTAGGCCTTTGGAATTTCAAGTAGGGGACCACGTTTTCCTCAAAGTATCGCCGATGAGAGGATTGTCAAGGTTTGGCAAGAAAGGGAAGTTGAGCCCAAGGTACGTGGGTCCATTCGAGGTCTTAGAGAGAATTGGCACCTTGGCCTATCGTCTCGCACTACCGCCGAATTTGTCCCAAGTTCACAATGTGTTCCACGTGTCTATGTTAAGGAAATACGAACCGGATCCGACCCACGTGCTAAATTATGAAGAAATAGATGTGGACGACAGAGTGTCGTACGTGGAAAGGCCAGTAAGGATTGAGGACAGAATGGAACGAGTGTTGCGGAACAAGACAATTCCAATGGTCAAGGTAATTTGGGAGCATCATGAAACCGAATGTGCGACATAGGAAAGCGAAGAGCTGATGCGACACCAATACCCCCATTTGTTAGAATAATTGGGTTGGATTATAAATTTCGAGGATGAAATTTTTGTAAGGGGGGAAGAGTTATGACATTCCGAATTTCGACACAATTTTCAGATTTATAAAATGTGTATTTCGTCAGTGCGCTTATAGTTAAATCTCGCCCGGAACTGATCACCCTTGGGTTATTTTTAAATTAGAGATTCCGCTAGAATCGCACTCGATCGAATTTGACCGTTATTTAGAGCCCGAACTTTCGTGTCGAATTTCTCGGAGTTTCGCAACAAATTTAATTGGACGGTGTCGATATTATTGTGGCCAACGTCGATATTGTCTGGAATTAGTGAAAAGTGAAATTTGGACCGGGTGCGGATTTGGACTAGTAGACCTCCCTCGTAGTGTGTTTTAGATAGTGTTTTGGCCCTTTTTCCTAATTTATAATTAGGGTTTTTCGTGGGCTGTTGGATCAATTTCGGGTTTGAACGAGGACCATCGGATCGCACTGGAGTGCAATGTTTGACTTTTCTCTCTCTCTCTCTCTCTCTCTCTCTCTCTCTCTCTCTCTCTCTCTCTCTCTCTCGCGTCCCCTCCCCCTGCCGCACGTCCATTCCCTCCTTCCTCATGCAACGTCCCCTCTCTCTCTCTCTCTCCTCCTTTTCTTTTCTTTTCTTTTCTTATTCTTTCTTCTTCCCTTCTCTTCTTCTTCTCTTTTTCTTTTCTTCCCCCGCCGCTGCTCCTGCAACCTGCCCGATCACCGCTCATCCCCACCCCAGCCTGCCAGCCGTCCACCTAGCGCCGCCGCTCGCCCAGCTGCCGCGCCGTCTGTCCAGCCGGTTCCCCCGACCCGACTACCCTTCTCCTCCCTCCCTCCTTCCCCTTCGCGCGCAAGCAGCAGCTCGCTGCCGCGTCCACCGCGGTCCGGCTCCGCCGAGCCGCCAGCCAGCCCGTCCGGCCTCGCCCTGCCGCCTGCGACACCGCCGTGCCACTCCCGACCGCCAGCGGCTCGCCACCATCGCCCCAGCTTTCCCCCTAGGCCGCCGTCGCCCTTGCTGCTCCAGCGACGATGCGGCTGCCTCTGCTTCGCCCTCCCTGTTATGGCCGAGCCCGTCGCCGCCGTTGTCGCTTGTCCCACCGCCATAGCTCACCGCCGTCGCCGTTCGACCGTCGTCCCAGCTCGCCGGTCGAGCTCGCCTGGCCGCTGCCCAGGCCGTGGCCGAGCTCGCCGGATCGCCGTCCCGGCCGTGGCCGAGCTTGCCGGTAGCCGTCCGGTCGTGGCCGAGCCCGTCGACCACTCGCCCGTGGCCCGGCCGCTCGCTCGCCAGCCGCTGCCGCTCGGCTCGCGCCCAGGCCACTCGCCTGTGTCATGGCCGGACTACCCAGGCCATGGCCGAGCGCCGTGCCGAGCGCCCCGGCCGTGGCCGAGCACCCCGGCCGTGGCCGAGCACTTTGCTGGCCACTGTGCCCGCTGTGCCCTCACCCGCGCCGAGCCGCTATTTTCCCCTGGGCCATTTTGGCCCCTAGCCGGTTTTTCCCCGAGCCAAACTTAGGTAAGTGACTTCTTAATCCTTACTTAGTACATTAGGTATTATTAGACTTGTTTAGGGGTTGAGTAGTATCGGGTTAGTGGCTAAGTTAGGGATGGAATTGTTGATTGAATGTGGTCGGTTTATAGAGTAAATTGTGGTGATTTTAGGGGTCGATTGGTGGTTGTTTGTGGCTAGTACGAGGATGGACTTGAGGGACTAATGTCGGTCATTTGACGGTTTGAAAAGAGAGGGGTTTGTGACGGATTGGTGGGCGTGAGTATGGCTAGTTTGTTGTGGGAATTATGGGTGAAATTGGATGCTTGAATGTGACCAGCTTGAACATCGGATTGGTGGGCTAGTGTGGCGAGCTCATGACTTGAAGTGGATATGTGCATTGTGCTAGAACGATGGTCGAGTTATGTGGTTGACTTGTGATGTTTTGAGAAATGAATTTGATGCTTGCATGGATTGATTGGAATGAGTGGCGTTTGAGCATACTGTGGTGTGGTTTGAATATGTGATTGACACGAAATTGATTGAATTGTATGGCATGTGTGCATGTCCGAATAGCCTGAGGTGTGTTGACGCGAGCTGTGGAAGGAAAGTTGGGCCTGAGGCGTGTTTACGCGGGTCATTGGAAAGAAAGTTAAGCCTGAGGTGTGTTGACGCTGGCTGTGAAAATGGGCCTGAGGCGTGTTGACGCGGGTTGTGAGAATGGGCCTAAGACGTGTTGACGCAGGCTGTGAAAAAGGACCTAAGGCGTGTTTACGCGGGTCGTGGATAGTTGGATGGACATACATGTGGAATGTGCTTGATTGAAGTGGATGAATGCACTGTGTATGGCGCTCGGGTGATTGTGCTATGTGCTTGGGCTATTATTGCATTATAGTGTTTGACTAATATGCAGAGTTGGCGTGTGATTGGAGGCGAGGTAAGAATGTCTATGTGAATTCCAATTTGTCAATTGTTAGATTGCATGTTGAGACTTGTCTGGGTACGCATTGGCCTAAGTGGGGTTTAGGTTATCTGTTTATTGAGATTTATCTCATTTCCGTTGTTAAACATTTTCAGGCTTGGAGTGACGAATAGTCGTCACGCGCGGTTCGGAGACCGGGAGTGGTTATTGGACATTGGTGCTTCACCCCTTTTTGGATGCCCCTTTTTAATAGTGAAGTTAGGCTACCCAACCACCGCCTTTTTTATGAACGTGGTTCGATGTTAGTAGCCCGGTTTAAGGTGATGTAAATGTGAAGGTTGTAAGTCATATTAAATGTATTCTTGTTTTGAGAAGTCATATTAAATGTATTCTTGTTTTGAGTATGTGCCTTTCAGCTACCCCTCCTTGAATGTTTTGTGTCTGGGTTGTTTAAATTCCGCTTCCGCTTGCGTACGACTTTGGGTGTTTCGTTTGGGTCGGCGACACATTCTGGGACATCGCGTTCAATACGACCATCAAAGAGGTGTCACGAGCCCGTTGGGGTTCGGGGCGTGACAACTTTGCCTCGACGACATTGTGCGGAAGCGTGGAAAAAAGACAGATGGTTCGGTACAATGTGGTTGTGGCAAATGTTGTTTTCTGATCGAGGACGAAGTAGTTTTCAATGGAATTTTCTCTATGCTGTGGATACATGGAAGCAGTGTGACATGGAGGAATGTGGAAAGTTAGAATTGATTTTTTAATTTTTTTTGCATTTGGGTCCGTCATGTCATTGCATTCTTAAAATTTGTCCAATAAAAGAAGAAGCGGTCATGAGAAGCCGGATTGTCACAAAGTCTTTACCAAAAATAGTTATTTCATCCGCATGTTGTCTCCATTCTTTATCGTATGTGATATGAGATCTATATGTTGTTTTAAACTACCATAAAAATTTCAATATATTACATATAGCTGGAGCCAATTAAGAAAATAGATATGACATGGAGGAGGGCTTAGCTTAGTATAAAAATAAAAGTAGATCCATGCTATTACTTGATCTTCACAAAAAAATTAATAACTTCATTTTTCTCCAATTTCTAATATTTAAATTCACCCAAGAGAAACTTAACAAGTGGAATCTTGACAGAATGATAAATTTTGTTAAGATTATGCACACTAGTATATTGTTGGCCAATATTATTGAAAAAAATCTAAAAATTGTAATTGTTATGGAATGGACGATATGAATATGATTGAGAGAATGCGAATAGTGGAATAGAATCTTATATTTCATCTTCAAATGGGATTTACATGTAGACTAACAACATAATTTTCTCAATCGACAATGAGAAAAACCAAGGAAAACTGTACAACCTATGTAGAATACTTTAACATCTCTCAGTAGAACTTGACTATGATATCATGGTCCGAATAGAGACCAAAGGACTTGAGCTATCGCAAATCTCCTTATTAGCATTTGCAGTCCCCTTAGTTCATTATGCGATTGTGGGTTTTTGAGAGGCATCCAGGCTCTCCTCTCCTTCCTTATCACAAGAAGATGCTCGTGCGAGTCTGGAACATCGGGGCTCTGGGAATGACCGGAGAGATCCCAAAAAATTATTCCCTACACACCCATCATTTCTTGGATAATTTTGTTTTCCTGCATTGAAAATTACAAAAAAAAAATGACACTATGTCAATTACTGGGAAATTGAATGATGATGGATGTAGAGAGAAGATTCATAGTTTTTACCATGAATTTGAAGCTTTTGGTAAATCGCTGATCCGATTGCTTCGTTGGTTGAGCAATTGAGATTCATTTCAAGTTCATGCTCACGAAAGTAAATGAGATTCATGTAAGTTCATACATCATGAGTAAGGCAACGAGGTTACGAGCGGGGATCTCTAGACATTACACATTCAATATCTAGAGTTCCTAGGTGCGGTAGCTTATATAGGTGAATAACATGTAATTGTCATAAAGACAATGGATATATTTTTCATTTTACATTTAACACATTACCGTATGATAAAGATGCAATAAAAGATTAGTGGTATATTTCATGGAATTTGATCATTTCCCTACTTAAAAAGGCTTCATTAATTAACAAAGAAAAACGTATAAGATATCATATGTGCAAAGCACCAAGAATGGGAGATTATATTGGCGAAATGGGAAATTGGGTAATTGCCATTAAGGCTAGGGATATATCTAACCCTAACATATAAGAAAAATCCATTTTATAAACATATATAATGGATTTTGGTAGAATATTTTGCTTTTTTTGGCTGGTGTTATAATATTTTCCCTAAAATGAATAACCAATGCACATTTGCTACCTAATGGTTTCAAGATGGAAAATCATCTTTCAAATCCAAGAATTAAGACAATATTAAATTAAAAAATGGAGAATTTGGTTAGGATACTTTTTGCTTAATATATCCCATTTTTTTAAACTTTTTTTTGTTATATTTTATTATTTCCAATTTGAGCTAATTATCGTGAATGCTATGTTGGAAATATTGTTAGATAACATGAAAAATAAGAATAATTGTGGGAATTCTATTGAAAAAGATGAGAAAATAATATCAATGTCTAAGGCGTGCTAGTTACTGTCCTTAAGGATAATTCCGCCCCTTGAAGTACAAAACTCGGTGCGTAAGGCTCTAGCGGCTATCCTCCCATACAATAGACTTTCTTCTATACTCTGCACTGAATATTAGAAGGAAAAAGAAACAACGTTATTTGTATAACCCAGCAAAGAAAGGAAAGATAAATAAAAGAATAAACAAAGAATATTTTTGTTCAGATATGTGACATTCTGAATTTCGACCCACTTTCGGGATTTATGAAATGATATTATCATCAATGCACTTTCTGTTATATCTCACTTGGAATTGACCATTCTTGAGAATACTAACCGTTAGGGAATGGCTAGTTAGGATTTCGGTACGCACGACCCAAGAACTCGAACCTGGATCGACACTTCAACCATAAGGATTGACGAGGGGATATTTTGGGCCATTATAGGCCGATCCAAGAATGATTATGGAACAATATAACAATGTTATACAATTGAGTCACGGGCGATTCCGTTTAATCGTTGTATGCATTCCGAACGTTCCAAAATCAATTTCTAACGATCGTGTCATTCGGAACTAATGATTGACCCTCGTAATTACATGACAACCGAAGTCACCATGGCTCGAGTAAACTTAAAAGTGGATTGATATCAAATCAACCACGGGTCGACACGCGTAAACCCTAAAAGCCGCCTGTTAGTTTGAGATACACGAAAGTCGCGTTTGATCGATTTTGGCCACAAATTGAAATCTGAACTTGGGTATCGAACTTTCAAGGATATCAAAATTATTATATTGGACGACGCCACGTTAAGCTCGCTTTATTATCGATTTGCTCAGAAATTCGCGAAAAAAGGGAAATTTGGCTCGGAAATTGGAAAAGACGATTTTACCCCTGTGTGTTCTAGAGTTTATTTGTTGAGTGGAAGGACATAATGGTCTTTTTACTCTAGTGGCCGAAATTCCCTCTCTTGGACAGCTTTGCCCTTGTTTTTTTGGTTAATTACAAAAATACCCTTCTAGAAGCCTTTTGTCAAGATGCATTCCTAGCCCTTAGATCAATACTTGGGCACCAAGGACTCATCCTAGCCCTCCATTTTGAGATATATGTTC